TTTCTTAGATGCTTTTCCAAACACTTTTCTAATGGCAGTAAAATTTTAATGATGCTTCTGTCAGAACCAATAGAGACTCAAATTTATTGAGTTGTGTTTTCCTTTTGTTGGTTTACAATTTGCTTTCAAATAATGGTGGCCAGATATTCTTGTTTTATTAGTTAGTTTCTGTCTTGATATACTGAACATCTTTGTTTAGTATGTATGGCTTACTTGTTCTCCATCTCTCTCTCTATAATGCATGTTTATCAATCAAAATGAAGGGAAAGATATTCTATAAGATCAAGCAGAGCTGAAGGAAAACAATATAATATTCTTTGGAAAGCAATATAAATAAGACAAATTCATCAAGAAGTTACTTACCGCATAAAACCATGCATTTTCCCAAAGTGAACCATCTCCAGCTGAGAAGCATTCCAGAGCTGATGTTTGCAACAAAACGATATAATGCTTATTGAGGTAAATGGCAAAAGAGGCAGTAAAATGCCAATAAGTTAGAAACAGCTGAAATGTAATAAGTAATGCATTAACATAGGGGCTTTTAGAAAATTTGAGCTTGAGGACCAGTCAAAACTATAATCCATGAAAGATTGGCTTACGGGATCAGCAGTCTGTGCTTTCTCCAATTGCTCCCTCCTGGAAAAAAAACAAAAAACATGAGCTTGCAAGTAAACAAAAACATCATAGTGTTAGAAAAAAACAATGTGACTCACGAGTAAACATGTTCTCGCTTATCAGTGGCATGATCAAGTAAGGTCTTACGAGCCCACTCCCATGCCCCTTGTATTGAATCGTAATGAGGCTGATAGAAGCAAAAGTTATCAGCAAGTTCTCTCCGCACAATCAATTCCTCCAAGAAAGCATCAGCCGCCTTTAGACCAACATTCAAGAATATGACAGTTAAACTAAACATGTATTATAAGATATTTATATTTATCAGTTATCACCGTTTTTGGGAAGAAAATCAAGCAACGAGATATAAACTGTAAGACAGGTAATTAAAACAAAACCTGAGGACATGAAGTTCGCATCTTACGTGCTTCTAAAGCACACCGCTGAGCAGATATCTGCCCAAAATGCAAGTAGGGAGATAAACCAGAAAGGGCAGTGGTTTTACACGGGTTGTTGCGATCTATAGAATAATTTTTCAACCTTTTAGTCAAGAATCCATTTTTACTACCCATCAATACTTCCATTGCAGCAATTTCCCCAGGCTCACACCAATCAACTTCAGGAACCTCATCTCCATTCCTAGTTTTGGAAAAAAATAGTCATGTCAACATATCCACACATAATTTGATTTGAGTTTAGAAGCGTAGATAATATAACTCTAACGGTCTAACCTCAACACGTCAGCAATAAGATCATCCCAGTCAACGGAGTATTCCTCTGTGATGACCCATTTCCTAGTGGGTGGTTCAATGTTAGGAAAATCAATGAGATACTCAGAAAGCCTTTTATTTATCTTTCCCCTAATTGTCTTAGCACTGTATTCCAATTTATCAGAGGCCACCCAAACGGGTACCACGTTGTGAGCATCCACTTCATGCACAGTAACCAAATCGCTTACTCTCTTACAAATCTCCGCTTTGCACTTTCGCACTTCCCGCAAGGGTGACATGTCTGTCACCAACAGTGAAGCTCCACATTCTCTAACAAATTTCGATACAGTCTCCTCTGCCTCACCCTATAATAAAAAATCAATAAGATTAAATTAAAAACAACATATTTGAACTCTGAAGGGTTGAGAAAATTGAAAAATAAAAATTCTAAATACCCGAAACAAGAAAAAGGGGATTTGAAGAGTGTGTCGCAGTTGGTGGCACAAATGGCGCAAACCCCTAAGCATGAACCCTAAATGACGGGACCTTGCGCCCAGAAAATGGTCGTAGAGATTGAAAACAACGGCTACGGGAACGTTGGCTTTGTTGGCCTCATCAACGGCGTGGATCAGAGCCCAATTGTCTCTCACCCGTTGATCTCTGAACATCCAATACACGACCGGACCCGGACACGATTCTCCACGCGACCCTTCTTTCAGGGTCCGAATGCGACCCGGATTGACCGATATTCGCGACGAGGCAGAAGCCATGGCTGCGAATCGTCACGTAACTAGCTAACATGCGCCTTTCCCTTGGATTTGGAGGGAACTTCAACTGTTTAACGTGTGGTTTCAAAAAAACATACGTGCTTCCAGTTTCTGATTGACACGTGTAAAAACTACTTCAGTTTAATTAATTTTTTAATTTATTAAAATCTGAGGCCCAAAATAAAGATGGATCTCACCAGCCCACACCATAAAAATGGGTTGGGTCAATCCTCAAGGCCCACAACAGATACAATTTTGGGGGACAAATACTTCTAACCCTTCGACCAAAAAAATAAAAATACTTCTAACCCATTTTCACCAACTTGATAACACAAATTTTAAAACCTATAATAGTGTTTCGACCCCAAAAAAAAACCTATAATAGTGCAATCACTTTATCTGGGTGGTGACGGTCCTGTTCTGTTGACAAGTAGAAGTAGCTTCTCTAAATTCACATCCATCCATAAGATAAGCCAGCATTTGGAACTGTTGAAAAAGGGATTCATTCAATTTCACGCTGGCAGGCATAATGCAAATGCAAATACATACATACCTACTCGATGTGAGGTGCAAATACATTATGCAGCTAGTGCGAGGTCCACAGCAGAAAATGCAAGTAAGTTTCTTTTAAGTTTCTTTTGATTTTAAATTATATATATTTTCTCTCCATTTGTCTTGACTCACACTGGTACATTTTCCACGGTAGCTCGTCACTGTCGTTTTTGGAACGAAATTGAAAGGTTTTTTGGTCGACACAAGACATTTAACTAATTGTACGGTTGTGCAATTCTTTTAACGTTAACAGAACCCATTTAATGTCAGGGACTAATGTGCTTAGGTACTAACCTGAAGTTAGTGATATTTACTCTTTTTTTTTTTCGCTTATTTGGAGCTTCTGGGTTGTCTTTATTAAGACTTTGCTCTTCATTTTGGTGTGCCTGCTGATCAAGTGCTTCATGTTTTAGTCCCTGGTGTTTTATGTGTCTTTATGTTTTACTTGGTTACTTATAAACTTTTGGTTTTTGAATCACAATGTTATTGGTGAACTCCTGGAGGTGGATTACTAGTTTCTTAGGTGCAGCATATACATATTGTGTGGCCACACGCCATGTGTCTTCTATATAATCCTTGTTGGTATTAGAATTTGTTTAAGAGTGGTTGGTTTTGGTGTTTTTGTGGGTGGTTGATTTTTTGTCAACAAAATTATGTATTACTATAATTTTATATTATGGGTTGGATCATTGGAGTATCTTTGTACTCCTATTTAATCAAATCATCTTTACATAGAAAAAAAAAAATGTATGGGTCTGCCTGAGAAACTATAAGAAAGCTCTATTCCTATTTCACTGACTTTATAAAAGTGGCTGAAGAAAAAGCAAGAATGGGCCAACAAATTCCTCAAAAACTTTGAAAGATGGAGCTTATTATGAGATTAGAAACAGCTGGCTAGATAAACCACATAACTACTAGACCCAATAATTGGTGACATTCTGGTTTTTCGGCCTTGTGCTTCCACCTAGAGATACCTACATTTAACAAGGAAGATAATTAAGTTGATTATCCTCAATATGCCAAATCCAATAGTATAAGGTAAGTTTGAGCTATTTGGTACAGATCAAGTTGTACGAAACTATTATGAATTGAATCATTATTTTAATTTTTAAAAATAAATAAAAAACTAAAACTAAAAAAAATAATGATCAAACGACCACCACTGAATTCATACATGTTGGTATAAAAAACTTTCATATTGTTCATCATTTCTATAATTAAAATTCTATTTTCACACTTGGATTTTAATGAAATAAATTGTTATCTATTGCTAGGCAACAAGTATTAATTAAATACCGCGTTTGAATTTTAATCTACTATTAGGCATCATGGTATCAAATAATGCAGATTAAAACACTACATTTGGTTGATAGCAAGAGATTAAAAACTTAAATGAAATAATCCCTGCTATTCCTAAGCTAAGGAATTAAGTTTGAACATAAGAAATTGAGACATACCATACACATATATCATATCAAGACACAACATTTGGTTGAAAGCAAAAGATTAGAAGCTTAAATGAAATAATCCTTGTTATTCCCAAGCTAAGGAATTAATTTTGAACTTTGAAAGATGGAGCTTATTATGAGATTAGAAACAGCTGGCTAGATAAACCACATAACTACTAGACCCAATAATCGATGACATTCTGGTTTTTCGGCCTTGTGCTTCCACCTAGAGATACCTACATCTAACAAGGAAGATAATTAAGTTGATTATCCTCAATATGCCAAATCCAATAGTATAAGGTAAGTTTGAGATATTTGGTACAGACCAAGTTGTACGAAACTATTATGAATTGAATCATTATTTTAATTTTTAAAAATAAATAAAAAACTAAAACTAAAAAAAACAATGATCAAACGACCACCACTGAATTCATACATGTTGGTATAAAAAACTTTCATATTGTTCATCATTTCTATAATTAAAATTCTATTTTTCACACTTGGATTTTAATGAAATAAATTGTTATCTATTGCTAGGCAACAAGTATTAATTAAATACCGCGTTTGAATTTTAATCTACTATTAGGCATCATGGTATCAAATAATGCAAATTAAAACACTACATTCGGTTGATAGCAAGAGATTAAAAACTTAAATGAAATAATCCCTGCTATTCCTAAGCTAAGAAATTAAGTTTGAACATAAGAAATTGAGACATACCATACAAAGATATCATATCAAGACACAACATTTGGTTGAAAGGAAAAGATTAGAAGCTTAAATGAAATAATCTTTGTTATTCCCAAGTCAAGGAATTAATTTTGAACTTGTCATAACATAAGAAATTGAGACAAAGTAAATACCATACACAGATATCAAGACACACAAAATATTAAAAGATAAAACAAAAATGCCCACCATGGGACTCGAACCGACAACCACAAGATTAAGAGCTTTATGCTCTACTGACTGAGCTAGACGGACTTGATAAATAGTAATTCTAAATATTAATATAATATTTGTACGCTATTTTTTACAATCTACAAGCTAAGAGAAATTACCTTCTATTGATTCTTATTACGCTGATCGCGTTTTAAAAAAATTAAAAAAAAATATTGGACAATCTGTACATCAAATAAAAAATGTGCAATCTATATATAACAACAGTTAACTCTTTTACTTTATTATTTTTGTAGTATTTTATTGGACAATCGATGCATAAATAAAAAATGGATTTAAGTAGTATACATTTTCAGTGTAATAAAATTTTACACAACGATCAAATAGTGTGTCGTTACATCATTTAATGAATATAACACCTCATATGTTATTAAATTCAATAAATGATATGACAACACATCATTGGACTTCTGTGTATAATTTTTTTACACTGACAGTGTACATATGTTAAAAAAATATGCAATCTCTTAGATACAAAAAGTGTTAGTTGTTAAAAAATAGTGTATAAAGTAAATGACTTTGTTGTAATTTTATGGAGAGAAAAATTGTATAAATATTAACTTTAAGAGGAATGAGTGTAACTATCAACACCACGTTTGATGATGCAAAATTTGGCTACTGACCCTTTAAAAATTAAAAAAATAATTAATATTATAAGGTTTTTAGTACACTAGATAAGAAAATAAAAATAAATTTTTTATACAATTACTTTGAATTAATATTAGTAGACATTTTATAGTAGTCCCCTTTGTTAAATATTAAAATTGAAATTATCCAAATGTCATTAAAATATATGTCCTAAACCAAAAAAAAAAACACGCTAATAAAAAACTACACGCAAATTCAACTACAATATTACCTCCACTTCTATTTATAAAAAACATATAACTAAATCATCAAGATAAAAAAATATGCCTTGAAATCAATAATTGTAATTAATAATGTTATAATGTTAAATTTTATTGTATAAATACCCTTAATATTAAATAGCTAAAATAAAGGCAAATTTGCTCCTGATTAAAGTCATCATTAAAGTATTAACTCATATACCAAAGGGTTTTGACTAGGTTGACAACGCTTATTGATTTTGTGGGAAGAAATCATGCGTTCGATCTATCCCCACAAAACACAATTTTAAGGAGAGGTAAAGAGTTTTAACTGTAACTCATACTCAAACAGGATTGTCCATGTGGTTAACACCAAAAGAAGTAATAACTCACACTCCAATAGTTTATCATTGAAAATAACGTACTATATCCTCTATTATGAAAAATAGGAGAATAGCGAACAAAAAGGATATAAAAAGAATTTCATAATTAATACAATTTAAAATATTATTATATTTCTTATATTTAGACTAGGGAAAACACTTTTTTTATTTCTTATAAATTGTAGCATAGCTAGTATTACATAATTTATTACCTAAAATATATTTTGGTTGAAAAAGGAATATAAAACTTTCGTAAACCAATTATTAAGAAAAAAAAATCAAATTCCTTCCCATGATGAAAAATCACTGTAATCAAGTCAACAAAGAATCACTTCCACCAAACACATTGTGCTTTCAATTTATTCAATGTCATTATTTCTCATTGAATCAGTTTTTTTTTAAGACCACAAGAGTGTCCTCAAATCAATTTTATTTTCGTTGTATATGTAGTAATCCTATTTTATAAATCAATAAAAATTTATCTATAAATATGTAAATCAGCGAAAATCCCATCTTCATGTAAATAACATAATTAATAGATATACTTAACACATATAGTTCACGATACCTTGATTATATAGCAAATTATATACATCATTCATATTTTTCTTTTCACTACCATATTTAAATTATTTTATAATGCTTATGAATATGATTCACATTTAAAGAAAATGAAATGATATTGATAGAATTAAAAAATGGAAAAAAAATCTAAAGATTATCTGCTTCTACATACATAATTTATGCGATGGTTTACATCGGATTTACGTTTCAAACGTAGATCCAAGCCAACATTACTCTTAGCGTTAGTTTGAATCCACGTTTGAAACGTGATTTTGTTGCAAATTAAATACACACTAAATTTGAGTCTGCATAGAGCATTTTCATTTACTTTGATCAGTGGAATTTTACATTTAACTCACGTGTCATTTTTATTATATTTTAAAAATCATATGAATTTAGAAAGTTTATTGTAGTTATAAAAAGTTAGAAAAACATTCTTAACCACCTAACTTAAATTTATCTTTATCCCTTGGATCTCTTAATGTTTAAATTTCAAAACATAATTATTACGAAACAAATTAATTATTTTTATGTGAGTTATAATCTTTTGGATATTTTTATTTAAATTTTAAATTATTAACCTTATGTACTTAATATTTTGTTGAATTGTCTTAAAAGCATTATTGATAAAATAAAAAATGTTATCCCGTACAATACAATATTGTTCAGAAATACTAGTATATATACATATATAGAAATGATAAGAGAGAAAGGAAATAGAATAATTCAAACAAAGAGAATAACATAACAAAATTAATTCACCTGAAAAATACTCAATTTTAATATATAGAAGTAATTGAAATAATGAAAGATAACAATTTTCATTTGATGTACTACTCGCCACTATCAAACTTTTTTTCAAGTCTTTTTTTTTTTTTGGTCGATAAACTTTTTTTTTTCAAGTCTTAGAGCTGTTTTTTTGTTTGGTCAAGGTCTTTGAGCCTTTATTGGGTTTGGATTAGGGCTATATGGACCTGGACTTGCAAACATATTTAAACAAGGTCTACAGAGTGGATTTATTGTTTTTTTAAAAGAAACCTCCCCTTCAAATCACCAGGCCCAAAGTTTCTGAATTATTTGAACTTTATGCCCACTATGACTCCTTTAAAATCCAAGACCCATGCATCACGTGCTTAAGCCAACTTCGTATTTAGAAAAATCAAAGACTCTGGTGCTTTTATGTCATCAACCATCATACACACCCCTTTTGTTGGTCCATATAGCCAATAGTAGAGTAAAACGTCAAATTGGTCCCTGAAAGATTAGCGGTCGGTTAAGTTAGTCCCTGAAAAACGGAAATTAACAAAATAATCTCTGAATCATACTACCGTCAATCAAGTTGGTTCCTCCGTTAACTTGGCTTTGTTAAAGTTAACAGAATGCACACATGGCAGGTTAACTTTACACATAGGATGCTGATGTGGCTGGCCAGTCTTTCAGGGACTAGAATGAATTTTTTTTACCCGTCATTTTGGTCCCTGGAATTGAACTTCTCTGTAAAAAAAAACTGACCTCTCATTTTCCCCAAATTGTGAACCCTAGTTCAAATTTGCATTCTGCAGCGTCGCCCTTGCAAAGATGATGGGAGGAGGAGGATTTGAGCAACCTCGTGTTCGACAGCCAAAGAAACCATCAAAATGTCCCTAAACAGCAAAGTCAGCCTCTAAGCAATTGAAGATCCATTTAAGTTCACTTCTTCTTGGTCTGGTTGGTCGGTGGTCCTTTAGGTGTTGGTATGAACTGCATGAAACTTTGACTTGATGCAGAAGTTGTTGTTGAAGGTTGTGTAGATGTAGAGTTGGTGGACATTGGTGGAAATGGAACTACATGAGGTCTTATGTTGTTGGTAACAGCAACAGTAGGTTGTTGTTGATGATAAATCACAACTCTTTTTGTATTCAGCTTTGGCCTAAATGCACTCCTTGGAATAAGACCACGAGTCCTCCTAACAGATGTGCCCTACATAGTAAATTAAAAGTTAAATATAAATGACTTAAATGCAAACAGACTTGTAAAAGCGACGCTGCAGAAGTGCAAATTCGAACTAGGGTTCAAAATTTGGGGGAAATGAGAGTTCAGTTTTTTTTACAGAGAAATTCAATTCCAGAGACCAAAATGACGGGTAAAAAAATTTCATTCTAGTCCCTGAAAGACTGGCCAGCCACATCAGCATCCTATGTGTAAAGTTAACCCGCCACGTGTGCATTCTGTTAACTTTAACAGAGCCAAGTTAACGGAGGGACCAACTTGATTGACGGTAGTATGATTTGGGGATTATTTTGTTAATTTTCGTCTTTCAGGAACTAACTTGACCGACCCCTAATCTTTCAGGGACCAATTTAACGTTTTACTCCCCAATAGTATATGAACCTTTCAAATTACGATGAATATATGCGTAGTTAGTTCTTGAAGACTTTGAACTTCTCATGTAATTAAAAAAGAAAAATGCTCTATGGCTCGAAGTTTGGTGAATGAACTGGAGATGACAGTATGGAGTAATTCTTGGGTGGATACACATCTAACACATCATTTTTGGACACAACCAATTAAAAAATTCCAACACATTAAAAGTAAAAAAAAAAAGAAACAACAAGTAAAATTTTCAAAAAGAGTCGCGTGAATCTTTCATCTTCTCCCACTCTCCTTATCTCTCTCATTCTCTCTCCCACTCCACCCAATATTTTCTCTCTCTTCTTTAATTACTTTTGCAGACCCACATTGAAACTTTTTGCTAACTTCAACCCAGGAAAATGTTGATATGCGTCCAACCAAGATTGAAACTTTTCATGTAACCAAGTATACATATCCGAAATTATTTCAAGCAAAGGTATGAAAACCATAAACGTAACAAGTGAGTGGTTAGCACTTGACACCCATAAAGATTCATGGGAAGTTATAAACGTGTGTGGCAGCCATGGCGCTTTGGTTTAACAGTGATGCTCCAAGAATGATGTTGTAAGAGGTGTTTCACCCATGTTGTTCAACCCACAAAAGGACTTGGAGAGAATTTGCGTTTTGTGCGTTATGTGTTGCAGACACGTTTTGCTACAATTGTTTGTAGGGAGGTTATGCAGAACGTAACGCTAAAAGAGGAGGCCTTGTGCAAGGGTAATTAATCAGTCACGCAACCACTTTTATTGAAATTTACACGTATTTTTTTATATGTTTATTTTAATATATTGGAATTTTTTAATTAGTTGTGTTTAAAGGTGACATGTTAGGTTTGTGTGTATACAAGAATTACTCGAGA